TGGTGGTGATGGTGCTGGTGTTGATGTTGGTGGTGATGGTGCTGGTGTTGATGTTGGTGGTATTGATGATGTTGGCAGTGGTGGTGTTTTGGAGATGGTGGTGGTGGTGGTGGTGAGGGATAGGGCCGTATGGACCATTTTTCACCCACTGGCCCACCCTGGATCTGACCGCATACCTCTGATGGGGGAACCCCCCGTTAACGACCAGACCCACCTCCCGCTGTAGAAGTGGAGGTACCTACATTTGCCTCCCCACTTCCCTTGCAATAAGCCTGACTGCATACGGCCTGGCCCCCAAGATGTCCGTATGTTGACGTGGCAACCAGGGTGTGAGGAAGCAGGACGTGGCATCTCAGCCCCGGGAGGGTGCCCCTAGGTTGGAGGCAGCTGGAGCAGCGGGTTCTGCAGAGTAGCGGGGCCTGGATCTTGGCCACCTTCCTGCTAGGTAGCCCCTGAACCCGACTCCATCCCCCAGGAGCTGCGTGAGCCCCCGTCTGGCCCGTTTTCTCCTGATACCTTTGGCTGCCGCCAGCCTTCGTGGCTACTGTCCACAGCCGTCAGCGTTTGCTGCTGCGAGTAACAGGAAAAACAGTGCAAACTGGCAAACCCACAAGGACGTCGATTCTCTCTCATAAAGGGGCGTCTGGAGGCACGGGGGGGGGCGTCCCAGGCAGGGCACTGTTGCCAGCTCAGTGGCATTACCAAAGTCTCCTCAAGGAGCCTGCCACTTGCCCGGGACAGCTCTGACCTCAGGCTGGTGCCCTTATGGTCACAAGGCGGCTGCTGCTTTCCAGGCCTCACATCTAGACAGGACAGTCCAGAGGAGAGGGGCCCAGCTCCTCTCCTGTCTTCCCAGGAGTGAGGCAAGTTCTCCCGTAAATTTCCTCAGACCCCCACTCGGTGCTCACACACCCACTGCTCAGCCAGTCCCTCCGGGGCAGCGGGTGGGGTGTGTGCTCTCCGCCAGCACCGACCAGGGCTCCTGGTGCTCTTCCACCTCGAGGTCAGGGCCCCAGCAGGTGACTGTGAGATGGAGGCCCTGGGACGCACCCTGTCTGCAGGGGTGTGTGGGGACACACTGTGGGGAGGGGTGGCAGAGACGTGAGCCCATCCTCGGCGCCCACCCCATAGCCTTGCCCCTCCAGCAGCACCTGTGGGACCGTTCCCACACCCCTCAGGTCTGCTTCAGTGTCACCTTCCCCCGGAGGCCAGCCCAGCCCAGGCCCACAGCGGTCACGGGCACTGGACACCCCATGTTGTTGTTGGTCACTCCCCGCAGAGGGGAGGACTATTTTCCGTGTTGTCACTGACTGCGAGCCCAGAGCAGAGGGCGCTCTCTGAGTTCAGTGTTGCTGACAGACGCAAGGTGGGGACGGCCATGAAAAACGCCAGCCACCTTCTACTCTGAGCAGTGACCTAAGTGAGAGGGGAGGCCCCGCCTGGGGCTGCGGAGGGAGGGAGGCCCAGGCCTCTGCAGTGCAGGCCCTGCCCGGGGCCCAGCCTTCCTTCTCAGCGTCAGGGTGGGACAGGATCTGGCCCCGACCCTCAGGCTCTGATGGGGATCGGCTGTCACCCCTCCTACTCCCCCAGCTGGACATACTGGAGCCCGAGTGGGGGGCTCTGTGACCTGCCACACCACTCAGACTGGCCAGTTGCCACAGAAACAGAAACTTGGTTTATGGATACTGGGATGGCCCCAGTGCCCGCCTGCTGCCCCCCACCTGAGCATGGGTACCCCCCATCCCTGGCCCAGGAACCCCACGCAGTCCCTGGGGTAGCCTTGTCCTCTCCTAGGACTCCTAGGATACCCCACTCGTGAGTGGGAGGCTGGGGAGCTGAGATGGGTTCAGCCCCTGCCCAGTGCCCTGGAGTGAACCCTAGGCCTTGGCTGTGTCCTGGGCCTTGGCACTGGGAAGCACAGGGACCCCACTATGCCCACGCAGCCGCTCGGGAGTGAATTATAAATAGAGGCCAGTGTAAGTGCTGGGCCCAGAGCAGGGGAAGCAGATTACCTGCTGATTAGCGAGGCCGCGGATTTGCTGGCACGGAAGGGCCTGGCTCCCGGGCTGCGGTCGGAGCTGGGCCTTAGGGAGCAGTGTGTGGGGCTCCACGTGCCCACGTGGCCCTGGGGCAGAGCTCCCGGAACCTCTGAGAAGTGCCTTTTGAATCCTCTCAGGTTCTAGGTGAGCCCCCTCTGACTTCGGGGTTGCCCCAAGAGCATGCTTCCCCACCCGTCTGCTCCCCACCCACTCAGGGAGAGGCGTGAGGGGCTTCCCATCTCCTCCCTCCAGGGGTCAACGTCTCAGCCAACCAAGACGAAGAGCTGGATCATGAGACCTTCCTGATGCAAATTGACCGGGAGACAAAGAAGTGCACCTTCTATTCCAGCACTGGGGGCTACTGGACCCTGGTCACCCATGGGGGCATCCAGGCCACAGCCACACAAGTGTGAGTGTGCCATCCCCGTGTCCACCACCTTCTCTTCCACCTCCATCACCATCATCATCACCTCCATCACCACTATCTCCACCGCAAGGATATTGTAGCAGCCCAGCCAGGGAAGAATGCCTACTGGGGTGGGCACAAATCTTTTTTTTTTTAAATATTTTTTTATTGATTTTTAGAGAGAGGGAGAGATAGAAACATGGATGAGAAACATCCATCGGCTGCCCCCTACTGGGGATGGAGCCTGCAACCTGGGCCTGTGCCCTGACTGGGAATCCAACCTTGACCTCCTGGTTCATAGGTCAATGCTCAACCACTGAACCACATGAGCAGGGCGAGGTGGGGACAGTTCTTAATGGTGGTGGGCACGTCAGTGGAAGGCAGGTGCCAGCCCCTCCCCCTGGGGGTGGTACTGGGCCTCAGGGGGTTGGGGAGCCCTGAGCCCCAGTCCTGCTGCTCTGAAGGGACCCTGCCCTGCCCCCTCAGCTCGGCCAGCACCATGTTTGAGATGGAGTGGCGGGGCCGGCGGGTGGCCCTCAAAGCCAGTAACGGGCGCTACGTGTGCATGAAGAAAAACGGGCAGCTGGCGGCCATCAGCGACTTCGTGGGTAAGCACTCCGGGCATGCCTGGGGTGACGGGCTGGGCCCTCTGCCCAGGGACAGCGCCTGCTGAGCCCGGGTCCCCCGAGAGCTGGCCTCTCCCCTGCCCCTCCCCGCGGACTGGGTGCTGTCCCTGGCACTAGCCACACCTGCTGGCCCAGAGCACTGCCGCTGACGTCGGGGCAGGTGGGCCCCAGAGCGCCCCTGTCCCCACTGCACCTCAGGGAGGCCCTGGCTCAGGGGCCGCAGACCCCTCGTGAGGTCATGAGGTCACCACGGGAACAGCAACGGCACATGTGGCCCAGGGGCCTGAAGCCCAAGCCTGCTGGGGGCGCTTTCTGGGGAGCCCCTGTTGCACCCCACGGGCGGCTAGGCCAGGGACGGCTCCCCCCGCAGGCCAGGACGAGGAGTTCACCCTCAAGCTCATCAACCGGCCCATCCTGGTGCTGCGCGGCCTGGACGGCTTCGTGTGCCACCGCCGGGGCTCCAACCAGCTGGACACCAACCGCTCGGTCTACGACGTCTTCCACCTGAGCTTCAGCGACGGCGCCTATCAGATCCGAGGTGC